ATTCCACAACCTCAGTGTCACCGCATCTAATTGGCATCATTGATCTGGCTCACATGATAAAGAGACCCATAATAATCAGTGCAGGTGAAACAAAAAACAGCTCCCAGTTATTACTTTTGTCCTCCTCCGCCATCAGTCCCAAACTACCCAGCCCCCCTCCACTTCCCCGCACATCATTTTAACAGACCGGGAGTGCCGTTTATTTGAAGAAAATGTTTGACACCTGAAGACGTGTGGAGGTGAAGGTAGGGGGAGGGGCTTGAGCCGAATACGAGCCGAGCTAGATGAGATGTGACAGGCCCGTCACTCTTGTCATCAGCATGGCACAGCTGCCACAGCCCTATTTCAGGAAAATTAAACGGCCTTACGGTAAACCGGCCTGCCGGTTGTGGGGGAGGACGGGGGTGGCGCCTGGCGCGCCACCAATCGCGCGCATGACAATGAGAACGCTTGTCGTATTCCTCTCTCCTCCTCCCCCCGCCATTCTCTCTTATTGACATGGTAATAGATCCAAATTGATGAAGACACTTCACTCATTCAGTGACAAGTCTACTGGCGCGCTCCATAAACGCGCTTCCTCATCCATCACTCATGAAGAACCTCCCTCCGGCGTCTGCTTGCCACTTGTCGGCCGGGGGGGACATGTTTAATCAGCTAATTTACTCTTCGTTGGTCACCATTAATGACTGCGCCACTACAGGATTAGCTTGTCATCCGATGCTCTTAATCAGTACTGATGAACTGCTCATCACACTATTAGCCTCCTTTTGCCTTTGCCACGCTTAGCAAAAGGTTAGAGGCCTGCATTAAAAAACAATCTGCTGGGTCACGCTTCTGTTAATTAATTTGCGACAACAGACACTATTGTTGTTTATCGAAGCACCTTCACAGTCGGGAAGACTTTGCCGCGTGACCTTGACGGGTGACAAAAGCCGATATGTTCTCAGAAAACTTTCCGTGTCATTTGACCAAGGCAAAGTGATTGAGAAAACAAGGGAAACGCCTGAAATAAATGCTAAACGAAGTCTTCTCACGGCCAAGTGTCACTCGAAAAGAACCTGCTGCGTGAGGTAAACAGCTTGATGAGGAGTGGAAATGTGGTGGGAACTCAAACATCATTGCTAAGTGGTATACATTCAGTAAGTTTGACTTCATGCGTGCTTTGTCTTTCCAAATAATGTCTAATCCACAGAATTTTAGGTGGCCTGCAATGTAGTTGGAGAAACATGGCAGGGATGAATAGTGGAAACGGGGGGCCTCTTCAAATACTGATGTTTGCTTCAAACCTTTCCTTTTCTTTCCTGTCCGAGTAAGATGACCGAGAAGAACTTGGAGGAAAGGTTGTTTGACTGATGAAGGGGCCTCACTGGAGCATTCTAAACAACTTTTACAAAAGGGCAGGACATCTTTGTTCCCCCATAATCTTTCACGGCAGTAATATTTCCAGCAACAGGTCATCAACGTTCGTTAGTGCACGTTCACACTAGAGTCTTCCTTCCGTTGAACTAATTTTAAACTGCGCTTCTTAGGTTCAAAAGGAAGCACTCACTCAAGTCATCTCACCTTGACCTGATGACATTTCCCACAAAGGTTAAAGAAAGGTGGCATGAAAGGAAGCAGATATGACTTGTTGGAGAGCTCCGGGTTGCAAGTGAGCTCGAGCTTCTCAGCTTCATGGCGAAGACTATGAATTAGAGCGAGACCAATTATTGGCTGGCCCAATCATTGACCAGGGTGATTGTATGTGCTGATATGTGGCAATCTGACAAATTTCGGCATAACTGAAAGTTTAACATTCCAGTAAGTTTGAAATTTTGGAAAAAATAACTTTACTTGTTTGAAGTTTTCATTGAACTTTACCATAGTTAAAGAAACGCTGATGACCCTGGGAGCTCCCTGAACTTTTTACATGTCTATTGTCTAAGATGCACTGTAAAGACATTTCAACAAAGAGTTGGAGTTTGCATTTTTTTTTATTTGAAAGTCAATCTTTTCCCTTTAAATGAAATTGAATATCAGCTACAGATATCTGTTATTAGCCTTCTTGATGACTAATAATTGGTATCAGCCCTGAAGAAACTTCAACAACTAAAACCAATTTAGCTCTGTCTGAAGATGAGGTTCTTGCTATTTCCACACAAATGCACAGTTCAAATTGTCATACCTATAAACGATTCACAACATCCGACCTGTTCTGACCCTATACGGCAAATAACAAGTATCGATCCATCCGCACCAACTACCACCCGAAAAGACTTATTGTTGAGGTCCATTCCGTCTAATCACTTGGCAAAAGAGTCTGACGTTTACAGAAAGAAAGGAAGAATAAGTAAATAAAACCATCTCTGGGCCAGCGTGTTGCTCTCACCTTTGCAGATGAAATTACCCGAAAAGCTGTTACAAATCAATATAATCAATGCAATCAGCTAACTGACACAGGCAATCTCCTGCCAGTAAGTAAACTACCCCCGGTGGAGATATTTCAATCTCCAGTGCCATAATTGCCCCCAAGGGTGACTTTAAGGTGCAGCATTTTGTACACTTAATTAAATTAGTGAGCTCGGTGGACAAGGTGGCTTGACGATCTCGCAGAGGATGGATCGCTTTGGCCCTCAGCCAGTAATTAAGGCAATACCCTTCCTGATTGCGCCAATCCCCCTTAATGAACTCGTTATGCATTTTAACCCAAACACACCCATGAATAAACGAGTGAGTGAGAGGAAAGCGTCTGCATGGAGGGGGGAAAAAAAACAACACATTTTAAATCATCCCCTCAGTGGTGTAGACGTAATGGCCATATTTCTCCCTCTTTCAGATGCAGCCAAGGGTAATTTGGACATGAGTGACAGCGCAAGTTCTAGGTCCTTGCAAATAAAACATTAAGTAAATAGGATCTTTTGGGGGGGGGGGGATTCAAGAGGTATCACAACGTTTCTTTGTGAAGCGAATAGAGTGAGGAAACTCACACCTACAACACATCCCAATTTATGCGTCATGATTTAAAGGGGCGGGCTTGGACCAGTTCAGCACTGACCCATAATGCTTTGCTAATTAAATATCTCACTAATTGATTCACAGCAAATCAATAAACCTCTGGTTTATGGTGAGAGAGTTGCAGTCAATTGCAAAAATGAAATGCAAACCCAGATTAACTGGCTAATGTGGAAAATCCGATTGAAAGTGGCACTCAAATGAGGGTTGACCTGACGCTTGTATTGTATGACATCATTTCTGCCAGCACTTGATAGCGAATAGAAAGGTGTGTTTGGAATAAAGAGGGGCACAGGGGAGTCTGGGGTTCCTGGGGGCACCTGAGGAAGAGATCACCTATGATATGATTATTTCAAGTGTAATGAATTCTAATACAGTATTGGTAAATTTAAAAAAAAAAAAAAACAGCTCCGTAAATACAAGTTAGCATTTTTTTTTCTTCTTCTTCTTTTTTTTTAATGGCTGGTCATTTAAAAAAAAAAAACAGCTCTGTAAATACAAGTTAGCATTTTTTTTCTTCTTTTTTTTTGGCTTGTCATTTGTGTGTGCTTGTGCCTTGGAATGTAATACGGGCAGCAGTATAAGTGTGACATCCGACTGATCTGGGTGGTTGTGAGGATCATAAATCCAGCCGGGGGGACCAGTTTCATTTTTGTCAGGGAATGTGCACACCAAAACAAATATAACCGAGGTGCGTAATAAAAGGGCACTATTCATTCAAGATGGAAGCAATATAACAAAAACACTGCAAGATTTATCCAATACGCTACCGATTCAAAATTTGCCAAACTTGCATATTTTCCATTTCTTTTCAACGTAATTGATTCTACCATATGTTAGGTGGACATTTGCCATGCTGTTGGTTCAATGTTTCTGTTCTGTCGTTGCAGAACTGAAACGGCATGAGCGTCTCTCACACACGCGCGCATGCATACACATACACACACACACACACACACACTCGCTGATGATGTGATGTGATAATTGATGTGTTTGGTTACAAGTGTTGAATCAAGTCAAGAACAGCACTGTGTTTGCATCTGAGAGGTGTTCAGAATTATTTGATTAACTTCACAAGAGGACTAAATATTCGAACCACCAAGTATGACGCAGTGTAGTTTCACACGACTGAGAACAACTATAATCATATAAATGATTAAAATCTTACTATGAGAGTATTATCTTTGTGGATGCGCATTTTTTAAATCATTTTATTGTTCATAATGGGTGAAAATGGTTCGCTTAAAAAAAGTCATTTGGGTTGAAGTTTTATTGTACATTACTAATACTTAACATACTGTTTAAAAAAATTCTACCACCCTTCTGACATTTCAAATACATTTTGTGTGTGTAACAAATTGCTTTTGTGTATGAACACAAAAAAAATTCCAATAAAACATTTGTTTAAAGAAAAAAAAAATTCGGTCTGTATTTACATGCAGGCAAAATTGATGGCACTCCTCATTGAAAAAATATTGAAACTGAAGAGAGTGGAATTTGCTTTTTTGGCAAGTCACCTCAGCTCCATGTTTACGGATGCAAACAAGAAGCACACACACAAAAGAATGCCGTAACTGCTATGAATCATGGAGGAGGTTCAGTTTTGTCCCAGCAGACGGTACAACGAAATCCTAAGACTATCAAGACACTCTGGAGAGAAATGTGCTAACCAGTGTCAGACAACAGGTCATGACCCAAAACACACAGCTAAAAATAGCCAAGCATGGCAGATCTCAAACCACTGAGTGCTGATTTAAATCCAATTGAACAGCTTTGGAAGAAGTGACACATAGCGACTGTGGAAGGCATCCTTTAAACCTGCGAAAGCTGGAAACTTGCTCATGTGGAGTTGGCCAAAATATCCTCTGAGTGAGTGCAGCATTAACCTCAAAAGTTTGTGCAGCAAAACATGAAGGTAAGGGGACAAGCCGAAAGCAAAACATGACATATCACACTTGACCTAATAATGCTGTTGGAACTGAAAAATACAGCAAAGCCAGAGTTTCATGAAATTGTTTTCAGTAAATGTTTATTTCTAATAACCTCTGTCAGTTTCAAGCTGATTCAGTGACAATTGCGGATATGCCTTTCTTTGATGAAACTGTAAAAATTTTGGCCTGCATGCGTACTCATATATTAGATGTCATTCAACTGCGTGATTTTTCTGCATGCACGCCGACTAAACAAGAAAGCTTTCGTCATTACTTTTAATGACACACAAGAAAATGTATGATTGAAAGAGCAATAGCATTAGTCTGATATAATAATAATAATAATAATAATATTCATGGTTGTCATTACAGGAATATTAAACAGTCACTTTCAAACACTTACTGAACCAGAGTGTTAATTACCGCTGAAATAATGACAGACAAGGATCAGGTTGTCACGGCAAATAATACAAAACATTATGTCATCATGGATTTTAAAAAAAGTACCATTAGAGTTTAGTAACAGTGACTAAGAGACCCATTGAGGGCAAGCCCTGAGAGAACAAAAGTGTATAAAAGTCACACATGAATGCAAGCCTACACTTAACATTAACACAGTGTGGGGGAGAATGTTGTTGCACGGTGTTGGAATTACAGTTAAAACGTCTCAAGTCATTATCAAAATGATTAAAAGCTTAGTTGGTGATCTGTGGAACAGCACCCGCTCGTCTGTGGTGATGTAGTGCCGCCGTATGGTCATGAGCGGCATTGCAATAAGTCACTGCCACTTCAGTGCGGTTTTTAAGATGATACTTGTTGTACTTACTGTAGTATATTTGGGAAAACATAAGTTGCATACCGTAACTAAGAAATGTAAATACTTCGGAGTAATCGTGACACAATTAAAAAAAAAGTGACATCTAATCTAGCCTCTTTGTTTTGGCACAGAATGTCACCTTGTACTTTCAGCCCCGTGAATATTTGACAAAAAAATATAAGCCATTACAAATGTGCCCGTGCTCACCAATGATCAAGCTTTCTGATTTACTCAAGATTTAACAAAGCACAATATCGTCAATCGTTCAAAATATTGATTATTATCGAACTATCAGGCGCCTGCAAATAGATTCCAACAATTTGTGGAAAGCTCTGAGGTCAACGTTTACTTTCTAGCTTGTAACCACCTCATTTGAGCACATAAGGCACATAAGAACAATTTTGACAATGCAAGAATACAATGGAAATCAAAAGCGGAGAAGAGAGAATGGAGATTCTATTTAATGCATTTTGATAATATTCTCAGCTGATTTGCACCGCACAAGTTGTGTGTTAAGCAGCAAATCATTGAAAAGTTAAAATGGTGATCAAAAGAATCTCTTGTTTTTTTTTTTTCACCAATCATTTATAAATTAAGGATTTCTGAGGATAAAATAGGAGCCATTCCTCAATGTGTGCAAAAGTCCTTTTAGACCGTATTGGTTTGGGTGTCTGGGCTGCAACTCTGCAGGTCCTTTACCTGCTCAAGTACCCAGCTGATGTTCGGTCTCTCCTGGGCGTTGGACACCATTATGGAGCTCAGCAGCAACTGCAGCCCATCTGAGTAACTGGGGGATAGACACGCAAAAAGTGAATTAGGGAGGATGCGAGACATATTGACGACAGTGAAAAAGCTCCACTACAGGGGTGCCTTGAGATAAGCGTGACCCAACTCACGAGTTTCTATCATTCTGACAATTTTTCATTTTGAGCTCTGCTTGAGATGCGACAGCTGTATGGTGGCAGTGAATTCAGTTCAACCTACTTCACAACAAACAGCAGTTTGGAAAATAGTGAACATATCTTCAAAAATTCCCAGTTCAAGTTTCTGTCAAACTAATATAAAACAAAAGAGTACTTCACACGAGTCTGTTTAGCTTAAAGCTAACATGTATGGAAAATGCCTTTTACATGCTAACGGTTAGCATTGATAGAGAGAGAGCGAGAGAGAGAGAGAGAGAGAGAGAGAGAGAGAGGGAGAAGAAGAGGAGAGAAGGAAAGAAAAAGGGAGAGAGAGAGACAGAGAGAGAGAGAGAGAGAGAGACAGAGAGATTGAATCATTCTGTCAAGCTACTATTACATAAAGAATTTCAACCTCGGTGTTCAGCCTAAGAACAACTCACCTGCAGGGCTGTGGGATGTTCACAGGGTTCTGAACTGCCAAGGCCACACTGTCGCCTCTCTGAAACACAAGGTCGTAGGGTCCTTCCAGCACCATCATGCAGTACAGCACGCAGCCCAATGACTGCATGAGTACAGCAAGAAGCAAAGTAAGGCAGAGGAGCATTTGACAATGTCACTTTGGAAATAACATTCACCAATTAAAAGTAAAATATCAGGATTTACCCAAATATCTGTGCGCTCATCGATAACACAGTAGCTCTCCACATTGAAGAGCTCAGGTGCACGGTAGGAAATGGTGCATCGCTGGGCAGCCCAATCCTGTAAAGTCATTGCTTCTCTGGTACCCCGGACCTGGAATTGAGTCCCAAATGTGGAAATAAAGTGTTTCCAAGAAAGTTGGACAGTCACCCCGAATCAGCCCCAACAACTGAATCTTTTGTCATAGCCATCAACAGTGTGGGCCTGATTTACGAAACTTGCATAAAACGCTAATCTGTCCAAACAAATCAACATGGAAGCTGATCTGATAACCGGGCATACCTGGGATTGGATTTGCAAAAGGGGCAAATTAGTTGTTTCAATCCAAACGCCCAAAATACTCGCATAGTAGATGGAATACCACATCAGCAATACAATTTTGGAATTTCTGAATGATCTCATGGGTGACTTGAAGCAAGTCTCAAGAAGGAGTCATGCCTTACCACCTATGACAAAACTCTTTTTCATTGCATCTTGATCATTTTAATGCACTATGGCAATTATTGCTGTCTTCTCCCAGAGAAATGCTTCAGATCTGCTGTCACAAGTTTTAAACATAATGCTACCTCGGAGGGGCAGATAATGTACATCAATACAAGTTTAATCAAACAAAGCATGACTTTTGTGCAGTTGCAACTTGCTGTCTTCATCCAAATTATTGGAGCGATAGACTGTGTTCAACTTGTTCCCCCCTGAAACATCTAACAAATGGTAATGGACAATTGTAGCATAAGCTTTCTTCGAATGTGTGTTAGGATAGACCTCCTGAGGCACTTGTTTGAGACAGACCCAGACATGATCTTAAGTTGCTGGATGCTGTAACTTTCCACTGCTACTGCCTTGAATTTCTTTATCTACTGCACCCGAAGCTTACTCAAACTGTATCATACCAGTTAAGACCATGGAGTCATACATAGGAACAATACAGAGGCATTGTTTATGCAGGGTCACCCTCTTGAGAGGGCGATAGACCAAAGTAGGAGAAAAGGAAGGAATAACTAGAGGGCGGTAGACACTCCCCAGCCACCGTGCAGAGTATGTCTTCAAAGCCTGGGTATCAATGCTTCTGACATTAAAAACATTATAAACTGAGACAATAAGGTTCTCTGTTAGTTAATTCTAATGAGGCAGATATTAAAGAAAAAGATCCAGAAGAAGTTCAGATGGACCTTAACGTGCAAGCTGTATGTCATTCAAAAGGGGTCAAAACAAATGTTTGCCTCTTTCACTCACACTTCAAATGTCATCACTTCAAACTTCAAACATTTTACATTGCGGTGCTCTCTAAAATTGTCTATGGTAAAAAACAAACAAACAAACAAACACAAAAACATTAGAGCTACTGAAGCTAAAGTTAACACCCCTTATTTGAAGAGGCCAGTCTCCACCACTTTTACACCTGCTGCCAATTGTGCCGCAATCTTTGTTGACCATGCAACACCCCCCTCCGACAGCGCGCACAATCTATTAAGAGTGAATCTGCAATTTCGTGAAATGTAGGATCTTAGTCATCAGGCCATATGCGAATGATTCTCATAACTTTAATCCCCAAACTTGCAATTTGTTGTTTGTGGAGCCAGTCACTTTTAAAACACACAACACAATTTTCTCAGTAAATATTATTAGGCAAGATACCTAATCCGACCAGTCTGTCAAGATGGGCCACAAACCAGCCAGCTGTACTGTATCTTAAATTACACACTCTAGGATATGTTAATCGAGTCGTCTCATAAATATTCTAAATGCTAAAGAGCTCTTACCTCAATGCGGGCTCTATTCATAGAGCCCAAATCCATCAGGACGGGGCTATCATCCTCATTCAGAAGCACATTTGTAGGTTTAAGGTCTCTGACCAAACACATTGAGACAATTAGTATTCATTTTGTGACTAAAATAAAAGATTGCAGTGGTACCTTGACTGGGGTTCCTACAGCTCAAGAAAAGTTAAATTCAAGACTCTTCTTCCATTTGAAATGAAATGTAAGACCAACTCCACAATGTTTCCAATGCCCATGTTGTGTAAATTTACTCCAGTACATTAATAATGCGCATATTTTCTTGGCCAAAAACACATCACTCTTTTGTTGGTCATGACTGCATAATGTTACTGAGACAGTCTTTACGACTGTCAGGTTAGTTAGAGATTTGAGACTATTTACAATCATCACACGATTGAAGTGTTGACATTTTTCAAGACTTTTGAAACTCCTATGTCAATGTACCACTGTATTTGGGTGCAGGATTGTATGAAACGTTCTTACCGATGAGCATAACCTTTGTCATGGATGGCCTTGAGTCCTGAACAGATCCCACGAAAGATTTTTAAAATCTGTTTTTCAGGCATGTAGCTCCCATTTTCTCGAAGCTTCTCCAGAACTGACCACAGACTTCCCTTCTGGTTTTTTTTTTTTTTTCCCCACACAGACAGTATGAGCATCACGGTATTTGACGGATGGTTGTTGCTTTGCAAAAAAAAAAACAAAAACAAAATTGAAGAAGCAACTTACTCTTATGTAAGGCAGAAGCAGCCAGGCTTCACTCTTCCCATTCCGCTCAACAAAGGTGTGTGCCACGAGGCTAAGTACATTGGGGTGATTAAACATCTGATGCATTTCCACTTCCGTCTGGGCTTCCTGGCGGCCTTCTCGATCATGACACAGGATTCTCTTCAGGGCATAGAATCGACCATCCTTTACCCCCTCAACAAGGTCCACGTAACTGAAACCACTGGAGAGAGAAATTATGAATAATTCTGCATTTTGTTGAAAGGCAACTTTTGTCAAATAAAAAAATACAAATACCTTTGCAAACCGGTGTGTGTTTGCATCAAAAAGGGACCATATGTGTTATCTTACCCCTCGTCAAGTTTCTGCAAGAAGTAGTATTTTTTGCTGTCAATGGTGATGGAGCCACGGGAGCAGATGCACATAGTCTGCCCCATCTTGACTGGAACATTACATTATTTAAAATCTAGAAATAAATATAAAGCTCATTAGAGAGATGGAAATTAATTTATTCAACAACATTTTGCACAAGGATCGCAATCCTCATGTTTTGTGGTGGCGGGCGGTGAGTTTAGTAGCTGGGTCTACAGACTTAATAATCCAACTCCATATATATATCTGTATATATATATACTGTATACATACATACATACATACATACATACATACATACATACATACATACATACATATACACACACGAATAGTTTTAAGTTGTAATATCACCATTCATTTGGAATAACATTTAGGACAAACATAGTCCCTGAATAAAATTAATATTTTGAGTGAGTTGGTTTTTGGGATTAAAAAAAAATACACAAAATGACTTGCACCTAATATTGGTTTGCTGTTCAGCAGTTTTGTGCTGTCCTTTGATTGCACATTATTATTTTTAACATCCACATACAAGTACTGGAGGCAGTGCATCCAAGAAATATGCTAGGAAATATGAATGGTGATAAAATTCAGGATTTAGGATTTGAATATATGCAGTGATTCTGATAATGGTTAGGCCACCAGAAAACGCCTTGCTGGCTTGCCAGGTGTTTTGGAAGTGAGGAATTAAATTAAACATTTTTATGATTGTATTTACATAATTCGCCTTCGGGACGGAGTCAACCAAACGTAGCCTAACGCGGCTAAGTGTGTCGGAAGATCTAAACTGCATCACGCGAATAGGTTGTATTTTGACCTTTTATTACAGTTGAATAAGTGAGCAAAAATTATACGTCTTCACAACGTGTATGTTTACAGGTCTAAAATTGTAATTACGGGACTGGAAACAAAATTCTCTCTCCACGACATTCTCACCTGATGTAAACATAGAGCAACTTTCACAAAACGCCAACATCATGAATGTGAGCAGTTTTTGGTCCTTTGTTACCTGATAATTGCGTGAAATGATGCGCTAACATGGAGCAATGAAAGCTTACCTATTGGTGAACATCAGCAGACACCCTGCGTTCCGGTTGTATGACGTCACGGACTGGTATTCTTCTTCTGTACCAAACAGAAGAGTAAACCTTTGTGCGAGCGCCAACATGACAGCCGATGTCCAAACTGTGTAATTGCACTACGGGAGTGTTGAGCGGAGGAAAATTGATGGAAAGCTGTCATTAATATCCATGACCATAATTTATCTGTACGCTTTTTTTCCTCATTCGTAGAACATTTTTGCTAGTGGGACAACTGCATGTTACAAAGAGGCAATACTGGTTATTATTTTCTTCACTGTCATAAAGATGTCATAGGGCGAGATCTGTACCTGCAAAATGAAGCACATTTAAAATAAAACTAAGTTTCCTTTATTCTGAAACTTTGATTCATGATTAATCATGCAAGTATTGACATTTTGAAAATAGCTGTACGGCAGCTCACATTTTGATATTATTATGGGGATTTTCTTGAGGCAGATCACACTACTTTGCACGGAAAAGGGAAAGTAGGTAAGGGTACATATAGTGAGTGAGTACTTTAGCCACTTCTGATTATTAAGTGAAATTTCCAAACAAGTGGATGAAAAAAAACGACGCATTTATTCGTCATTGGTGGCGCTAAAACGCACACAATCGAAATTAGAGCGAAGAAGATGTTCGAGCAGCTGCAGCCCATTCATTCAAAATGGCGAACCTAGAACGCAACAGGAGAGACCACCGCGACGACGGAGGTGATATCTGTACCATTTTAATTTCTTTTGCTAATCTTATACACGCATTTAAATTAGTCTTTGTTTGCATTGATTCCCATATTCCTAAATCAGGTAGAAAGTATGTCACTTATGGAGCCCTTGCTAAAATATAACGAGCTAACAAATCAAGTGTTGTTTAGCGAAGATACCATTGTGTTGACGTAGGTTGGAATTACGTTGAATAAAAAAGCAATGATCAGCTGTTAATCAACGTATTAGTGTACCTACGCGCATTTTTTTAAACAAATGGTGAAAATGTATTTAAGATGGGTAGCGAAGCCCATACTCGAAGCAGTTGTGAACGAATTTCAAGATGGGCAATGCACACATGAACTAAATTTAAGCGTTTTGTGTGTCACATTTTGTGGCGACAAACATAGCCGTGCAGGTAATGCTGTTATTTAGCTCTTTGTAACAAAACCGTTGTTCACCTTGGTGAGTTGTCTTGCCTCAAGCAGGGCCGCTGGAGGAGGGAGGCAGAGTGAAAACTAAGCCTGTCTCTTGTAGCACGGTGGGCGGAGGAGCGAGCAAACTCAAACGCACATCACAGCATCTTTCATCAGACGATGAGGACGAAACCCCGACAGAAACACCAGCGCCCCGCAAAGCCTCCAAAATACGCTTCGGCATGAGCTGCATTAAGTCCAATCCTATATCGATCAAGCTTGGCGCAAGTGTAAGTAGGTTGGGTATTTGATTGGGTTACTTCTTGAATTGGTTGTGAGGGGCAGTCTCACCTTCTGGGTGACCATTTGTGGTTTGAATCTGGACTTTGGCCTTTCTGGGTGGAGTTTGCATATTTTCTGGCTTCTTCCCATATGATAAAAAAACATGCATATTAGAGCAATTGAAGACTCAGAATTGTTCTATGGTGTGATTGTAACTGTGAATCTTTGTCTATACCTTTGGCAAGAGTCGTCACACTCTGTACTTCCCTGTTTTGTTCCCATCTTCGAAGTCACCCGCATCTCAATCAATCAATCTGTCAACCGTGGTTGACTTTATCCGTCTTTATTACATCGTGTCATCATCTGCAGAGGTTAAAAAAGTAATAACCTCATTTTGATAAATATGAGTATAACATGCAGATATGTTTTCAATGGTAGGGAGCACAAGTAAAATGTTTTCAAAAAAAGATATACTAGAGTAAGGTACAAACTTATGGAAATAAATCGACCTAAGTGCATAAATAGAGCATTTGTATGTCTCATTTCCCACCACAAGATTTAAAGGAGGGCACAGATCGGCCTTCAAGATACCGAAAGCAAAGCAAGACTTTTTAGAATCTTTTTTTTTTTCCTTGTCCTTGAGAGATTAGCAGAAAGCGTTTGTCAGCTAGCATAGGCTTTGCTCACGCGCGACCTGAATGAGGGCAGCCAATATAGAGTTACTCTTGAGGAAACGTGCTAAAGCCCATATTTATGCATTATGCTGTAAAGTTTCACGTCCCTCTCTTCTCACAATGTTGCCTTAGAAACCCAAAGAGCCTGTACCAACAGCCCCTCCAAAAAAGCTTGGACTGGCATCGGTTTTCAATGAGGATGATGACGTGAGTACTGAAATCAGACTTTTTTTTTTTTAACGAGACAATCATGAATGGAATTTCTTGCTTTTTAGCTTTTGAAATATAATCAAGATATTGTGAGCTAAAAGCTTTCATATGACTCAGAGAAGCAAGGTGATGGGGTAGACCCTTGTCTTTTTCTTCCTGCTAAGATAATAAATATTCTTAAAGAGACACGTCAGAATTAGATACTGTTTCTTCATCCCATATGGACAAACACATACCAACAACAGGAAACACATTGACGCAAATGACCATTCCTGTTGACATGCTCCACATATACATGTACGGCCCTCACTGGCCGGAAGGCCACCAATATAAATAAGCCGATAAATAAAATGTTCTCATTTTACAGAGCGAGCCGGAGGAGATGCCCCCAGAGGCAAAGATGAGGATGAAGAACATCGGCAGGTACTTCACGACTACATTGTTTTATTTCAGCCTAATCCTGTCATTCTAGACACGACAGTGAACTTTCACATAAAAGTATTGCTTTGGCGCTGTTTTGTGGCGTCTTGGTGCCAGTTAATTATGTGAAAGTGATTTGAGGAGCACCATTCAGACAAAAGTTGTGCTTTGCTGCCCTTTTGTTGCATCGTGGTGCCAAGGAACTATGTGAAGGGGTCTCAAACTCCGATCCTTGATGGCCGCTTTCCTGCATTTTTTTTTAAAATTTTCCCTCCTCCATCACACCTGATTCAAATGATCAGCCCATCAGCAAGCTCGGCGGGAGCCTGAGAACGATCCTGATCTTTTGAATCAGGTGTGTTGGAGGAGGGAAACATCTAAAACATGCAGGACCCCGGAGTTTGAAAATTGTACTTTAGTGGTATGTAAAATCAAAATAATCACATGAATTAAATGTCAACGTTACAATTCTTATACATTGAATAATTATTCCGGTAGAGCTGTTTGCTCTATTTCAGTGCAGTGTTGATGTTGAAACAATGCGTTCGCAGGTTTCCACAATTCATTTCACTCCCTTTTTGGAGTGCTGTATATTTATTTCCGTTTTAAAATTCAACAAGTTCTGTTAAAAGTAAATCAAAACTAGAGGTTCGCCAAATTAGGATTGAGTACAGGCCAGGTGCCGTGTTTTTTTTGTTTTGTTTTGTTTTTTTTCCCATTAAATCAAGTTCAGTCAACATTTAACATGTTATTAATCTGGAATCTTTTTAGGGAGACGCCGACATCGGCCGGACCGAACTCCTTCAACAAGGGCAAGCAGGGCTTCTCTGATAATCAAAAACTTTGGGAGAGGAAGTTGAAGGCGCACACAGACAAATAGTGAAACAAAACCTTTTTTTTTTTCTTTTCCTTCATCTTCTTCTTCTTACATTATGGTTAAATCCCACCTGGGATCTCTACAAAGGCTTCAATTATTGGAGTCTCCACTTTGAGGCTGCCCTACGAAGCATGCCTTTTAGTGTTCTCTGTTTAGGACCTTAATCTGTGTGCTGAGCAATGAGAAACAGCAATATGTGATGAAGTCAACCGTGTAACATTTGCTGCACATTACATCTAATGGCCAATAAGAAAGGTTCACATCTCCCGCTTCTCGCTGCTTCTTCGTACGCATACCTGGCGAAAGTGTACTTTACTTTTGAGTCGTTTTGTGTATACATGTAAATAGAAGTTTGATTCTGTTTTTTTTTTTTTGTGTGCGCTTGTTTAATCCATAGTAAAATTGCAAAGCGGTAGAGCATTTCCGGTGACTTTCCATGGGAGGTTAGCGTTTGAATTTTAATTATAATGTAATCCAAGCGATGGCTTGTGGGTGGAAAACCTCGTAAAAACTCGTAAAAGAACACTCATAAGGCCAGGCTCCTCCGTAGGTGGTTGTTTTAGTCAGGATTCTGCTAAAATATAGATTGACCAACGATAAATTCCCTAAGAAACAACCTTTAATTTTTGTGAATTATTGGTTTATTCCCATTAATTCCTATGGAAAGTTGCCGACATTGAACATTTGCAACCCAAGTACTCAGTTGAATTTGTCGTATTCAAGAATGACTGTGACAGTTTTTTGTTTTAGTGACCTAATGTATTCTTTTTTTGTTGTTTTTGTCGCCAGCTGTGCCAGTTTATACCCCCTCCTTAAACTCCTCTATTGTATTTTGGTGTTTTATCACATTATGAAACTACACACGTCTCTCATTTTATTGGTCAGACAAAGAAATGAAATCTCGTTTTAAGTGTGAAACCATGCAAATGTCTGCCCCTAAAAAAAAAAAAAAATCATGCTAGCGATAAGCCATAGTCATAGACAAGAATTACCAGAAATCAACCCTTTAATTGATGATACAAAAAAAGAGGATATACCCTAAGGAAGAACAACATAAATCACTAAGACGTGCTTTTTTTTTTTTTTTTTTTGCTTTTGTCTTTGTTTCAGTTCTGTTACCTGCAACTTTGAAATCAATGAATTTAAGAATTGATAACTTGAACTCTGACTACACACTATAGAAGATTGTTTTAACAGCCCAATAAACACTTTGGAAGATATTTTTGTTGTTTTTGTTTGGAATAAAAAATGCAGACACCAACATCACATGAAAACGTTTCCTCTCAAAGTTTAACAATTTTTTTTTTCCTGTCAGACAATCTGTTCATCATTGCGTTTTGCTTACCGATGCTGTTCATCTGTACTTGAATTTGCTCCGATAGTATGACATTGATGCCCGTATGGCAGATGAATACTTCTGAAAACAAGTGGAATCAGTGCATCCCCATTCCTTACTCTTGGTTTCTGTGATCATTGTGTCCAAAATGGGCATGTGATATGACTCCAGTGACAGGTCTTACTTTGTTTTTGGGTAAGGCCTTCCTCAGCAACGTCCAAAATTTGCCATTCACTCTTTCACTTTGTCCCAAATTCCAGTCCAGGCTGGGAAGCACCGTCAATGCTCTTCGGACCACTGAGGGCAGAGGGGAATCTGGCTCTACGAAACATTTGGAAGTTCTACTTGTCCGTATCAGCAAAAGTTTGAGAGTAGAACTCTGCAACAAAACCTTGAAAGACAAAAAAACGAGTTATTAGTGGTTTTGCTGTGATGAATAAAACTTAAAGGATTAGAAAAATCAAATCAATCAATCTTCCCTGCATACACTGCCATTATACATTTGACTGAATTCATGATTTAATTTAACAGGCTTCACAAAAATGTGGGATTCACCATTCAAGAAATTACAATCATTATGCAGACCACATTTGACATATTCACCCCAAAATGTATACAGTCATGGAAGGAAAAGCCTTTGCAGAGAGATTTTTGTGTGTATGTGAGATGAGCAAGAGGTTCACTGGTGAGTGTGAGAATTTGTATCGATGTGTTAGAGCGGTGCTCTCCAACCACAGGTCCGTGGATGCATTTTTTTTGTATTTGTTTTTTGTAGCGGAGCATGTATGCCACAAATGCTCCCACTGTATGTTATCACCAGGGCAGGAATATTCATCAGCTGGTTGCTGATTACCAGCTGGGTAACGACGGGAACATAGGTCTCGGTGTCATGTGCAATGCAGTAGAAAACAATAAATGTACTCAAAATACGGCCAATGAGAAAGGTCTAAGTGATGAATAGAAGAGGCTCAAGGATGGAGACCTGGGGAACGCCTGTGGTAACTGAGAAAGGATTGGATTGCTTATTTGGCGTGCGTGTCTGCCTTATTTTGGTTTGTGTAAGAGGAGTGGGTGATAGCTGAAAAGTTCAACTTTTCCATTATTAATCAATGTGACAGGTGACAGGTTTTGACTTGCCTGAATTCCTGATTCCAGAACAAACACAGCATTGCTGTTGGACAAGTAGTCAGCAGACACAACACAGATGAGGATTTGACTTCTTCTGATTGCATGCACCACATCGTTTGTGTAGGCTGCCAAACAAAAATAGATGTCATTAGAAACCACGACCCCACTCGCATGCATGTGTAGTGAGAATTGATCCTCTGACCTCCACCAGGAAGCATGTCCCTCTCCAGTAAACAGAGGCGATACCCCCACAGGTCTTCCAAAACCATGGGAATCAGCATCTCAGGTGGCCTCAAATCGTCGATAACATGCTGAAAGTTGAATGGCTCAAGTGTGGATGGATAATCTGCACAATGGATATGTTATTTTGTTTTTCCTCCTCCAACTACAGTTGACCTGAAAACGTGCCCCACATACCGTCCGATTCTGGTCCTGATCGCGACGAGAGCGTCAAACTTGCTTGCTCATCCGGAGTGGTCCACACATAAGACAAGAACACATCAAACTCTTTCGCATCTGATAGAGAGGGGGGAAAAAGAAATAAAATGAAGCATTTTAAATACATTTCAATTCACAGCTGCTGCCTAAAATCCCAGGAGAACGCTTTCTCATAAAAATGTGCAAATGAATTGGACTCTTGCAAGTTGCACGTGACCCTTCAAAGACCAACGTGCATGTGTTTGCTCAAAACTCTTGTACCTTCAAAATGATCACTTTTTAAAAAAAAAAATTTGAGCAAGCCACTGTCAACACTTATAATTTGTTAAAAAAAAAAAAAAAAAAGCCCAGTGCTAGCGATATGTGTATGACTTTTTTCACTATTTCGGCACTCCCTTACTGCATAAGTAGGTTTAAGATTCCCGCCATTGGTAAAGCTAAAATCCATTTTAACTGACATAGATCAAATTTAGTGTACAGGATACAAATTTTGTAGCACTTGTATAAAACGCTTTCATTTTTGTGTATTTTGGCGTCAACCAAATATCGGTGTGAAAGAATTATATATAGGATATCTGTATACTTATATATTTTTATCACTTTTAAATATCAACATGGGCTTTATTTGGAAAAAGCAAGTACTGCTACTCACATATTCTATTATTATGTTCTATCGAGGTGACGTGATCTACTTTGGACTGTTTTTTGAGAACTCAAGTTTCCGGGTGCGGTCGAATTTTGAGTTGTTCTGAAACCACATCCTGTGAAGATGAATGTCTGCATGCATTGTTGGTTCGCCGTTGGACATATACTGATACGTCTACCACAGCATGTGTGCGCGTGTGTGTGTACGCAATGCATTCTCACCTTCATCAAGCTTTCCACTTTGAAAGCATGATTTGTAGATTAGTTGGAGTTCCAACCATTTCACATGCAAAACAATGCCCACTCCAGCGACCAACAGCAGTGATGCAATTGGATAACCAACTAGTGATGGCCATTTCTCTAGAAGGAAAACATACTGGTTATATTGTAGGTTATCTACAAAAAGTGTAATACTGGGAAGAAAAAAAAAAAGAATATTTGGCTTTTTAGGGGTAGCAGGATCCAGCTTGATTTAATCTACAAACCCCGGACCTTTTCTGTCATGATCCACACCTAGAGAAAATGAATAAGCCTCAACCAAAGGCTCTTCAAGCTTCTAAAATGCAATACTTTGACGTGCAATACTGTTTTCACTGTGCAATACTGTTTTCACTGTGCAATACTGTCTTTACTGTGTCCTTACTGTGCAATACTGCTCGATGTGCAATACTATTTTGTTGCTGGAACCACTACCTCAAGACCTCAAGTGCTAAGCTTACAGCCCCACTCTCACCCTATGTTTTTCCTTTGCTCTGACTGTCTCTATAATAAGCCGCTCTCGCACAACTCTAATTGCCCCACGGGGATCAATAAAGTTTTCTGAATCTGAACCTAAAATTAACAGGAATGAAAAAGCATACTCAACCGCAGCTGTAACAATGTCCAGCATGTATAGTTAAGCATAAAACGTAAATCACAATAAATAAAGCCAAAGTAATGAGTTAACAAGACTATTGTAAACAAGCTGCTGATTCACACATAACAAGTGCAGATATTCAGCTAAACGTGCAAAACGGGCTAGCTCGACACGAAATTAACACTAAACAACAACAGGTGCCTCTTTGAGCTCTTTCTCTGTATTTTCTATATTATTATTATTATTAAATTATTTTATGCAATTATTAGTTCAGTATGTGATTTATACATTATGGAAATGTGTGCATTATATATTATGTAAGACTTTTTAAATGGCATTACACCTTGACATCACACATACTTGTCGGGGGCTAAAGCTGAACCTTCCCTGATGATGGCACCACAAGCAAACAAACCGAGACATGGGGACTGGAGTCATAGTGATTTGGACTCAAGTGACTGTTTTGATAACTTTTAACTTCACAAAAACTCAAAGACTTGACTTGGACTTAGACTTGGGTGGTAATGACTTGCTGCAGGGGGAAAATGTTAGTGTGTGCAGTTAAAGGAATTGGATAACAGCTGGGTGGCACGGTAATCGACTGGATAGCACGTCGGCCTCACAGCGCAGAGGTGCAGGGTTCGATTCTGGCTCCGGCCTTCATGTGCGGGGTTTGCATGTTCTCCCTGTGCCTGCGCGGGATTTCTCCGGGTACTCCAGTTTCCTCCCACATTCCAAAAACATGCATGGCAGGTTAATGGAACACTTATCGGAACACTCTAAATTGTCCCTAAGTGTGATTGTGATAACAGCTAGCCACTGACAATAAATGTAGTAAGAACTTGTGTTTTGTACTAAAATAATGTGACAATAAAAGAAAATAAGCATACTTTTATTTTTCCTCTTGAGGTTGACCGTGGCGCTCGTGTTGCCAACAGAGTTTGAGGCCATGCAAGTGTACATGTGATTGAGATGAAGAGCCGTCACCTCCCGTATGATAGCGCTGGTTGTGACCATGAACTCTTTAAATGACACCTTTTTCTTTCTGAATCAAAGAGAATGCAAATTCATTTATGTTTCAAAATGAAAACATTCCCTCTGTTATCAGCAATAACTAAATATGTGACAGTGACTCACTTCTGGCTCTCTGTGCGTAGCAGAGTTCTGTTCTCCACATTGCCTCCGTAGTTTATGTACCACTGCACTCGTGGTGAAAAGTTGAGTTCAAAAGGAAAATGTACCAGACATGTAAGAGTGTGGGGCTCTCCTAAAATACGGGGGAGGAGATGATAAATAACAATCATTAGGGCTTTACATGTCATGTAACAATTCAGCTTAGCAGTGAAAATGAAGCATTCCATAATTTTACAGTATCAAGTGTTGGATTAAGTCAGGAAAGTCCCCCTGAAGGCCCAGGGAGCAAAAGCCCAGCCCTCCACTGGTTTTAATGCCACAAAGTAAGATGATTTCATTTGGTTGTACAGTGCTTACCGAACTCCACTTCCTGTGCTGTGCCGTTGTCCGGTGATGTGATCCTTGGAGGATCACTCACTTCTTTAAAGGCTGATGAAAGGACATGTGCTCATTGATTTTTTTATTTATTATTTTTTAAGAAAGCAAATAGATAAAGTTCGAATTTTACCGCATTACAATTACTGGATATGGATGGAAAAAAAACAAGTACAGTACACCCCCACACATTCCAAGCAAATTCAGATAATCACATTGTTTAACCCCTCCTCTGTCAGTCAGTGAAAATATCAGTCAATGTTTTTGTTGCCAAAGCAATTTAAGTCTTATCTAGGCACAGTCTTGTGGAATCTTGGTGGCAAGGAAGTATGTTTTAGTGAGTTGAGAAGTTTCATTTGAATAAAAGTAGTGCTTTCCCCTCATCTTGGTGCCCAGGATGACTATGTTGAAGTCAGTTGAGAAGTTTCCTTAAGACAAAAGTATTTTTTAATGCCAATTTGTTCCATTTTGGGGCCAAGGAACTATATTGGAGTGAGTCAAGGAGCTTAATTTAGACAAAAGTGGTGCTTTGCCACCATATTATGGCCTCATGGTACCAAGGAACTATGTCAAAGTGAGTCAATGAGCTACATTTAGGTAAACGTAGTGCTTTGCCACCATCTTCTGACATCTTGGTGCCGGGGCAGCCTTTTGAAGTGACTTGAGGAGCTTCATTTAGACTAAAGTAGTGCTTGATCACCATTTTGTGGCAATGACAGTCTAAATTGTACAATTTTTAGGGCTCAAAGCTTCAGCGAAGGGCTCAGTCTCTATCCGCCTTAATGACAGGGGCACACTGTGAAGCTAACAGGGTATAACCAATAAAAATGAAAATGTAAAGTGTACACTCATTTTAAATGTTCTATCGCACGCACGCACGCACGCACGCACGCACGCACACACACACACACACACACACACACACACACACACACACACACACACAAGGGGTCACTTACGTATGGCTATTACGGTAACAGGCCTCCTGAAGGTCCATTCTACTCCTTGTTCTTCAAAGTGTTGATCACAAAAATATTGCCCTGTGTCGTAGTGGCTAACTGTGCAGAGATGTAACTGGCCATTCTTCACGCAGAGGTCACGATACTTTTTTGACATCCTTCTGTCACCCTGAGTAAAAGCATACCCAAGTTCTTCTATTGTCATTAAGATTTTAGGATGCAGCATATCCCTGCATATGTCTCACCTTGTACCATGTGACACCTGTGCTCTCTATACAGTTGAAACCGGGGCAGGGGATCGTTCCTCCTGCACCAGCAAGCAGTGTGACAACCCCCTCCTCAGCTATGTAACATGGCAGGCGCTGTTTGTTCAGCACCTGGAGGTAGAGGAACATTTTGCTGCCGTTCGACAGCACAGACATCCCAAACATGTATTTCATGGGAAATTCAGTAGGAAATTGTGAGAAAAACACAAAGCACACTCTTTGGGGAGAAAAAGCTCAAGATTATTAAATGCACATGTATTTAATTTAAAGGTTGAATACATCTGAACTATACTGTGATTAAATGTTTGAATACAAACACCAATACACCCTGAGTGACTATTTAAAGTTATTTTAATTTTAAAGTGTTCTCATGAAACAGTGGAAAAAAATGTCAAAAGAATCTGTACCGATAACCACAGTCACAAATGTGAAACTAAGAACCTATAAATGCGTGACTGAAGTCACAAAGGTGTGACGAAAATCTACAAATGCATGACTGAGGTCACAAATGTGTATCGAGAAATACAAATGCGTGTCTGATGTCACAAATGTGCTTTTCAACGTTCTTTGCTGTATGCATTTCCACTAATAAAGTGACTCTGAAAAGTGGGGTACACACTACCCCGAGTGGTACGTGGACCACCTCCAGCAGAATGCGAAAGAATCACTGATAAAATGCATCATGTTACAGCAGGTTGAACTTGACATACATTTGCACTTTTACTTTTAGGATTGTTTATTTTCAAATGTACCAGTAAATACATTTGAAAACAATGTAAAATCATTGAGTGTTTTTTTTTTTTTTATGTGGTATAAAACAGTTGGCACAAAAAGTTTGAGAACCACCACTCTAATCCAACCACACAGAAAATAAGCAGCATTACCCAGTAAGCAAAGTGTAATTTCCTGAATGTTTGGCTTCGATGAGGAACTCGCTCCCACAGTCAAAATAAAAGCCTCCATCTTCTTTTCTGTCTCCTCTAATCTTGTACCATGTCACCTTGTTGTTGGTGCACGGCATCAGAAACATTTCACCCTCCACAACTCGATAGTGCTGCTGCGGCATCGTCATGCGAGGACCTGGAGACATTCACAGAGAAAATATCTTTGTTAAACAACAAACATATTCTTTTGGTTCCAAAACAATACCTGTTTTGTAATGTTGATTGCTTTTCACACAGCATCCTTCCAAGAAAATGGGAAATACCCAAAATAGCAAAACATATCCAGTTTGCATCACGTTGATATGATCACACCATGACATTGTCAGCACTTTCTCTCAAATCAGCACGTGCTTTCTATTTCTTGAGTAGTAGAGCAGCACTTTTCCGAGAGGATGAAGATACTGAAGTAGGTGGAAGCTGAAGTATGCTGTCGCTTCCTGTGTCGTTGCATCAACAATGAGATCATGGAAATTGCCCCGGTGTTTGTGTTTGTTGAAAGCTAAAGCACAAATATCATAGTTGTAATCTAGGTCACTTCTTATAAAGCACAAACTGCATATATTGTATGTAATTAAAATGACACATTTATTCGTTCAAATGTCAATACAATGTAAATTGTTTGGATGTGGTACCAGGTTATGGCAAAACATGCCAGGCAACACTGAGCAATGTTTACTTCTCTTATTGCATTTGCTGCTGCTTCGTGTGTTAACGTAGCTATGGACCATGTGCATGGAAACACATTGAGCATTTCTGGTGTGAAGGTGAGGCGGGTTACAAGTTTCCGTATTTGCTTTTTTTAAGGGGACGCCCTCTGGAGGAAAAATAACCTCATTCTTTAAATGTGTGATAACGTGGGTTTGAGGAATTGATATTGTGAATAATTCGTAGCCGGTGCCTCTCAAGGTGGAAATGTCATCTAAAATTCTTGTCCAGCTAAATTTCTATGATGAAGCTAATATTTGCTCATTGACTTAGAGTAAGAGTAGGGATGGGCAATCGGTGGCCCACAGGTCACATGTGAACCCCGATTAAAGACAAAAGCAGGGGTTTTGGAACTATATTGAAGTGGGTTGAGGAGTTTCATTTCCACAAAAGTGGTGCCTTGCCACTATCTTATGGCTTCTATATGCAATCATAAACTTTTTGGGGATGGTTGGGGTTGTCACCTACGCACAGATTTTCATAAGAGATGGCAGGACTTTAAAAGCAATTGTTACCAGTAAACTGTCAGAATGTCAATGCAATACCATTCAGAGGTAATTTTATGTGTATAATTGGTAATGTTTACCAATTTTTCAACTGAATATATTTGTATGAAGGTAGCAAAGCTGTTCAAATGTAAATATCATGAATTAAAAATGTTTTTCTGACTTGCATGCTCAGTGCTTAAGGCTCGGGCACCAAGTGTTCCAATATGAACCAATGGAGTAGACCACGACATTCAACAGTCTTGTGAACAAAGGGCTGACGGAACCATCTTTATTGATTCATAGCACACTGCATGAAGGTTTGATTTAAAGCATCTAATTTTGACACAGTTTTGATCAGGTTTATTTTTTGGCTCTCATGTCCCACACCTAGACCATACTTTCCGAGAACTACCCAAGGTAGCATGAAAGCAACCACTGTAATTTGCAGTTACTTCACGGTACGATGAAAACACCACCAGACATTGCAAAGAAAACTGAGCGTGATCTCAGGATCTCATCAGATTGTGTGCAGGTGTACTTGAGGTTCTTGAGGACAATTTAACATGGAAGAGCTTCTAAGGGAAAAGCTTGGTTTCCAGTGCATGCTGCCGGGAGGTGATAGCGGAGCTCCTTCCAGAAGGCGGAAGAAGGCGGCAGAGAACTTAAGCCCTTCCATGTGACACAGTTGCCCGTCTTCTCAAGGAGCTGGAAGGCCTCTTGTATGGAATCCCATTTTGGAGCGTCTGCACACTCAGTTTTGATGACAACTAAGCTTGTCTTGCGTTCCACTAGGGCTGCATGGATGGCACTCAACAAGCCAGTCTCCAGACTCTGAGCCGCAGGAGAAGGTACCAGGACCACTGATTGGCTTCGTTCTATGCAGTCTAGCAACGCGTCAGGCACAGCTGCAACAAACACACAGCAAAATTGTACATTAGCTGATAGGTATTTGACTCAAATTAAGAAAATGAAATAGAATACCTTTTCCTGGATGTACATCCCGATCAAAGAGGCATAGTTTATAACCCAAATTGTCTTCTAGAACATTTTCTAGCCACTTTACATCACATTGTTTCAGTCCTGGGACTTTGTCGCTCTTGTAACACATCAGAAACACATCATAGGTCTTCCCATCTAACAGTAAAAAAAGAAAAACAACAACATTGTATCACAGTGGTCCATTGAGTTATGAGTAACTCAACATGAGTTTTTCCACACACAAGCCAACGTTCGGCTGATTTTTTTAATAACTTGAGAGTCGAGCGCTGTATGGTGGCAGTGAACTCAATTCACTTCACAAGAATCAGCAACTTGGTAGAAATATCCTTCAAAAAAGAGGCTTCAAGCAACTGTTTATTGCCACTTGCAGTTGCTCAAGTTGACTCTTAGACTTAAAGTCTTTATCCATCCATCCATTCACCACCGCTTATCTGGGGTCGGGTCGCAGGACGGCTTTAGCAGGGAAGCCAAGACTTCCCTTACCCCAGCCACTTCTTTCAGTTCTTTCCAGGGGATCTCAAGGCATTCCCAGACCAGCCGGGAGACAGTTTCTCCAGCCGTCCTCACCAGGGAGGCATACAGCAGGCATCTAATCAAGCTCCTCTCAATGTGGAAGAGAAGCGGCTTGACTTGTAGCCCCTCCCTGATGACCAAGCTTCTCACCTGATCTTTAAGGAAAAGCTCAGACACCCCGCGGAGGAAACTCACTTCGGCCACTTGTATCCGGGATCTTGTTCTTTCGGAACATAGATCGACCGGTAAAGAGAGGTTCGCCCTTTGCCTCAGCTTCTTCTTCACCATGACAGACCAATACAAAAAGAAGTCTGCATCACCGCAGATGCTGCACCGATCTGCCTGTCTATCTTCCGCTCCCTCAGCCCTCCTTCGTGAACAAGACCCCAAGACACTTAAACTTCTCCACTTGGGGCAAGATCTCATTCCTGACCTGAAGAGGGCAGTCCACACTTTTCTGACTGAGGACCATTGTTTCAGATTTGGAGGTGCTGATTTTCATCTGCTTCTCACAGTGGGAATTGTTGATCCCATCTTGAAGAAGCCAACAGCACCACATCATCTGCAAAGAGCAGATATGCAATGCTGGTGACCACACCGGACCGCCCCAATGACTAGAAATTGTGTCCATAAAGGTTATGAACAGAAGTGGTGATAAAGGGCAGCCTTGGCGGAGCCCAAACCTCACTGGAAAGGAATCCGACTTACTGCCAGCAATGCGAACCCAACTCTGACAACGGTGGTATAGGGACCGAACAGGTATCAGGGGGTTACAGTACCCCATGCTCCTGAGGCACCCCCGACAGAACTCCTGAGGGACGAAGTCAAACGCCTTCTCCAAGTCCACAAAACACGTGTAGACAGGTTGGGCGAACTCTCACGCACCCTCGAGGACCCCGCCAAGGGTGTAGAGCTAGTCCACTGTTCCACGGCTGGGAAGAAAACCACACTGCTCCTCCTGAATTGGAACTTCGACTTCTCGATGGACCCTCCTCTCCGGCACCCCTGAATAGACCTTACCAGGGAGGCTGAGGAGTGTGATCCTTCTGTAGTTGGAACACACCCTCCGGTGCCCCTTCTTAAAAAGAAGGACCACCACCCCGATCTGCCAATCCAGAGGCACTGTCCCTGATGACCACGTGATGTTGCAGAGGCAGCTTCACGACATCCAGAGCCTTGAGGAACTCCGGGCGGATCTCACCCAACCCTGGGGCTTTGCCAGTGAGGAGGTTTTTAACTACCTCTGTGAATTCAACCCCAAAGATAGGAGAACCCACCTTAGAGTCCCCAGACTCTGCTTCCTGTAAATAAGGTGAGTCAGTGGAGTTGAGATCTTCAAAGTTTTCTGCCCACCGACTCACAATGTCCCAAGTCAAGATCAGCAGCCCCCTATTCTCACTTTACACAGTGTAAATGATGCATGGCTTCCCCCTCCTGAGACGTCGGATGGTGGACCGGAATTTCCTCAAAGCTGTCCGGAAGTCAGCTTCCATGGCCTCACGAGTTTTTGCCTCAGCAGAAGCCATGTTCAGTTTGGCCAGGCTGGCTCCGCAGTCCCACAAGTGAAAAGCGTCGATAATATAGACGCTTTTCGCTATGTAAATATAGACTCTATATTTACATAGACGCTCAACTCATCTATATGTATAATATTCCTATAGTGCACAAACGGTAAAATAAATAAAGACAACAGGACTCTCACCTGCAGTTCTCCTGTGGCAGCCCAGAGTGTCTCGTAGGAAGAGAATGATTTCAATTTTGAATTTGACATAGACAATGACAGTCGTAGCCATTACTGCCAAAATAATCACCGGGCAGAGTACCACAGACATGTGGAAAGGCCGAACTGAAAGGAGAAATAAAACACCCAATACAGAAAATGATATAGAGTAGACAGATGATAATATTAAACAGTGGTGGCAGGTCAATGGAGAGCACCAAAGATAAAAATTTTATGAAAACATTGATCCATCCATCCATTATCTCAACTGCATTTCCTTCCAAAATATATAATATTTAAAATATATATTTAAGTCGATTATGAGCCGCATGAGCGGGATAAATAGCATATAGTTTATGATAAGTTCTTTTGTTCTGTTGTCTGTTTCCATGGACGTAGTTCTGGTCTGGGGCACACAAATCTTTTGCATTTTAATGTTGGTCATGAAAGTGGAACACTATATACAGTATATTGTTTAAGGTGGGACTTGGTGTAAAAAGGTTTCACAATTATCAAGCTCATTCTAGTCAATTGTACATTGAGAACACCGGATATGGCCACGAGACGTCATCAATGTCATCAATCATGCTCCCAGTCAGCTGCAGAATAGTTTTAAAAATTCTGCTACTGGTCGATAAATGACTGAATGGTTTGGGTCCTGAAGACATTATAGAAATGCTGATTGATTATTAAGGCCAAAGATCTGAAGACTTCGGTCACCTAGTGGAGTCCAGAGTTCAAGCAAACATGGTGAAGCACCATATAGTTGCTATGCTGCACACAAATGGAATAAGCAGAAGTGAAGACACCCTCGAGTGTTAACGCTTTTAAAACTACTTGCCTCGTGTATGAAATGTGCTATACTGTATAAATTAAGATGCCTTGCCATCCAAATAATAATAAAAATTATTTATACAGCAGCACATTTTAAATGATTACTTTATCACGATTCCTTGCAATCCGCTTTCCTGTCATAGTAAAAACAAATGACTTATATCTCAAAGGAGAAATCGGGATTTTTGTCCACGCAATGCAATAGTTACAATTAGACTTGAGCATACACTGTCAGCTGCAACAGTTTTCAAGTTTTGTATACATCCCGCGTGGAGGTTTTACATGAGGAGCTATTTAACCTTACATCCATTGATCAACCTTACCATTTTTGGCCAAGGTGATAGTGACAAAGCTCGGGTAGTCAGAGATGGATTGCATTTTACAAGTGTAATCATTTGCTAGATCATCCTTTGTTACTTTTTTGAACACCAGATTTACTGTGTGTTTTACTCCTTCGGTCATATGTTCCCTGTAAAATGAGATCAGAACAGTAAGATTAGGGGGCAAGTTGAGATTTGTTCATGAGTTGTGCATGTGAATTGTTTACTGTGTCAAATTGGAGAATACTGGGAAAGAGTCATCCTTTTCCACAAATGCGTTCCCCTTCAGCCAAAACAAAGAACTCCAGGCTGAGTAAAGCACAGCTTCGCATTTAATCACAGCTGGTGAACCTGAAAAAGCAGGTTAAGAAATAAAAAAACGTTTGAAGACAAGAGCGAAGGGCACACAGTGTAGTGGTTCACACATCCAGCGTGGATGCAGCCAGTGTGGGATTGATTAGCTCAGTGTTTTTCAACCCCTGTGCCGCGGCACACCAGTGTGCCGCAAGACATTGTCAGGTATGCCGTGGGAAAATATCCAATTTGTATGCCTGTGCAGTCTATCGCCCAGAAATTAATCGTGTAGTACCCTCCCATACCGCTTGGGAGCAGCAACAGCTAGCCAATTGCCTTGTGTTTAGACGAGAGACAAGCGAATTTGTGACGCATGAATGCAGGACGACGGTGAAACAATAAATATGAAAGATGAGAAAATACTTTTTTCTTTGTGTTGATTTGATTCCAATTCAAGCTGTTATAATGTCATTCTTCAATGCTAAAAACGGTTATAGTAACAATATAACACATTAATTATTCAAATAAGCGTTTTTTTTTTCCACATTTTCAGCTAGTGGTGTGCCGCGAGATTTTTCCAATGAAAGAAGTGTGCCTTGGCTCAAAAAAGTTGGAAAAACACTGGATTAGCTCAAAGAGCTTTCAGGTGTGATCGAGAGTGTGGTTGGTCGCCTCTCTCTGTGTGCTCTGCGACTGACATTTTCTGTTGGCTGTTTTCCCAAAGTTTATTGGGATCGACACCAGCTCCCTGTGGCTCTGAACAGGAGAAGCAGTAGAAAATGTGGGGAAGAAATACAAGAGTGATGCTCACCCACATCCACATAAATAATTTCATTTGCCAGTGGGTATGAGATCACAGCATGTTTGTCCGAGTTTCCTATGAAAATACAAAAAGAGAGAGTTCAATATGTGTCACTTCAGTTCCTACAGTGCCGTGAAAAAGTATTTGTTCACATCCTGATTCCTGGATGAACTGCTGAAGAGGTGTTTCATTTTGGTCAAGACCGCAGAATTCATTGTTTCATTAATGAGAACAAGTCATGTAAGTCCTGAAGTAGAAAAGCAGCCCCGGACCATTACACTGCCACCATATCATGGGATGCACACCTTCCGGAAAGTTCAGTTTTGGTTTTATCAGTCAAAAGAATCTTACTATGAGGATCATCATGTTTTTTGGCAAATGTATGTGTATGTATGTATGTATGTATGTGTGTGTGTGTGTGTGTGTGTGTGTGTGTGTGTGTGTGTGTGTGTGTGTGTGTGTCTTTGGATGTTGTACTCGGTTCTTTTGTGACCTTGTGCGTGAGTCATTACACTCTTGGGAGTAATTTTTGGAAAGGTTCACCACTGTTCCCTATTTGCTCCTTTTATAGATTTTGGAGTCCCAAAATCTTGAAGAAAGCGTTTTAACCTTTTCCAGATTGAAATGAATTTGAAGGACTTTGTGGTTTGTCATTGTTCTTGAATTTCTTTGAATTGTGAAATGATAATGATTTTTCTTTGTGATTTTGTATCCTACTTCAATTTTTCTGACAGATGCAAACAAATCTGGCAGGAATCAGGCCTCGGCCAGAGAAGCATTTGGGTGTCTTTGTGAAGTACCGGTATTAAAATTTGCTTGCTCATCCAGAATGTTTAAGAAAATTTGACCCCCCCCAAAAAAAAAAACACCACCCAGCCACAATCAGGAAGGGAGCTATTTGTAGTCTTACTCTGATTAGGCTGGACGTCCAACACCACCGTATAACTCATGTTATACATTTGACCATCAAAAAGATAAGACCTGGTGCAGGTGTAGACACCATGGTCTGTGTCTTCCGCACTTGGAAAGTAGCCGTTAACCTGTGCTGACTCACCCTCCTAGAGGATCAATTAGAATATTTCAATCTTAAATCATTCATTCAAATTCTGGAAAATATTGATGTAGAATAAAGTAATGATTTCAAATACCTTGTGCCATGTAATGTCACGACTGGTAAAGTTGGGATAATTTGAATGCGGGATGTTGACATCGGGACATTTCAATGTGCAGGACTCTTGTGTGTAACATCTCATCGGGTACCGAGTTCTGTTCTCCAGCTCTCTGGTCAATGTGTTGTACACGGTCAGCCTGAACCACAACTGGTCCTTTTCATTCCTGTCATGTGTACAGGGTTCAGAGATTGGAGGATGCCTGTGGTAATGTGCGAGTTCAAACCATTTGGTGTGATTCCAATTTACCTTTGTGAGCACGAGTAGTTGCCCTGATGGTTTACTGAAGCAGCGAGAATGAAAAGGCTCCTGTCAAAACACAGGAGACCCAACTGTCTCTGCTCAGCGGGCGACATGTTGCTCAGGTTCATCTGCGGCTTGTTCTCACTAGTCCATATCACTGGTTTATGGTCAAGATGTCCCGCCCGTTGACACTGCAGCACCACCATCTCACTTGCCTTGACATAAATTTCCTGGCGGGGGCTTGCCACACACCGGCCTGTGGATTAGAAGTTTGCTCATTAGTAAGTGTGACCTTTCAATGGGGTCATTTCAGAATTGGAGGATGTTCAAATCACATTTCAAATCATGCATTTTCCCAAAATGTTGGTGCTTAAATTGTACTTCAATTCTTGAATGACCCAAATACATTTTTTTTTTACATGTTGAAGGGCATTTTTTTGTTCTTTTTTAACCACATCCTCATTTGTGGGCATCAAAGGATCTTGTGATTTCAAGAAAAACAAACGCAGCATTTCAGCAATATGCAGTGCATTAGTGTCACAAACATGCATTTGTTCTTTTATCAACTATGCATTTGATCTCAGAGGTACGATACCATAACAACAACAAAACATTTAGAATTCCAAGTACTGTATGTACTTGATGAGACAACTTCAGTGTGTGCATTAGTCTGAATGAAATGCTGAAAGCACATTTGACCCATAATAACTGTTCAAAGTATACATACAGTACTCACAAAAAGTCTTGTGAATCTTTCTGTTCAGCCACAGAACACGCCAGGTTTCCTCAGTTGCTTTGGTACATTTCTCAGATCAGAATTTAATTTCTCAAGACTGCTTGTTTAGTTTTGACATGGTGTCACTGGTACACATCAAAAAAGCAGTTTTTCATTTCCATGAACAAGTTTTAAATGCTTTGCTACAGTGCCCCGAAAAAGTTTTTTTCCCCCTTCCTGATTTCTGTTCTTTGCATATTTATCACACGGCAAGGTTTCAAAAATTCCTCCAGAGCGATATGAAAGACTCATCACCAGTTATCGCAAACCCTTTTATAAATTTGCTTGGGTTGTCTTTGTGTGATGTTAAAATTGATTTGATGAACCGAAACCTTTGTGTGTGGTAAATATGCAAAGAACACATAAATCAGGAAGGCGGCAACTACTTTTTCACAGCACTGTACATCTGTCCAATTTTTTTGTGTCCTACATTATCAATTGCTTATGTCCTGCTGATCAAAATGTGTTCTAATGAGTTTCTGTTAAATTGTCTCACACCCTTCAACATTTTGGCATTAGTTGTGTAAGTCTTTTCACGCAAAATGCTTGAACAAGTTGTCATCATACAGTATGTCCAGCATATTTGAATACATTTCCACTGTACGTTTTCCCCAGGCCAATCTTTCGTTTTTCTATTAAAGGGACATGATATGTGAAGCATTCGCGCAACCAATGATCAACCAGTTTTGTGGGCACGAAGCCAGGAATGAAGGTGTAGAAAGACTGGACTGTAATTTCCATGGTGTTGCATGTAATCCCTGTTAATAAAACACACACACACACACACACACACACACACACACACACACACACACACACACACAAAAAACCCACCATCGGCCACCATGGTCCTGTTGTGCTTTTGTGCTGGTCTTGCTGGTGTCACCAAAAAGCAAAACAAAAGATCCAAGATCCAAGCAGCCGAACCCTTGATCACTGCACAATCCAGCATGCTGCTTGGGCGCTGCCAGGAGCTGGTGACCAGCTTGTCTTGATGGTGTCACCAGCTACCAGAAATTTGGTCTTGCTTAGTGGCTGTGGCTCAGTTGGCAGGGCAGACTGCTCAGTGAGTGAAAACTTGGCCGTTTGAACCAAAGATGCATTTTTGGTTTTGCTGCTCGTCTTTCTACTGACACCAGTACTGGTGTTTCCGTACTGGAAATTAAAACTTTCCAGTACGGAAACACAACAAAACCATGCTGATCAATCCTGCATGTTTTTTTTAGGTTTTTTTTTGCAGAGCCTTTTTCCCTAAGGAGATTGTCCCATGTCCACGTTTCTTTTTTTTTTGTCTCTGCAGTGCTGTCTTTTCCTTTCTATACCACAAGGAGATGGATGCCAACTAATTACATTGCAAAGAGTAAAAGTGAAATGAGAATCTTACCCAGTCTCTTGCAATCAATCTTCCACATACGCAAAGGTTCAACTTTCAATTCAGAAGACTGAATTTGTCATCAACATTTAAGCAGCGGTTTACATCAGAACGTCCCTGCAGAATACATTGTTACATTGACGACATGACGAAGCAATTTGACAGGGTTATCCGAACATAATGACACAAAGACTTGTCGTTCTGACGGCGCTGACATGTTCAGTGATATAAATAATGACTTTTGAGAGATGTACTTAGCATTTTGGGTAAAGAAAATGGCTTTTGCAGAGGAACAATGATGTTTTATCGTTTGTTTTGAGAAATGCACTTACAGGTTTGCAAATTAAATTCTGATCTGTGAAAGGTATCAAAGCAACTGAGAAAAAAGTGTAAGTTATTAAAAAAAAGTCTTGAAATATTAAACATTTGAACATGTGCATTCAGAAGAAGTTAGTCACCTATAAAAGGAATGGTATATTTTAGGTTCATCTGGAAATTTCCCCCTTTTTTTTGTGAGTGGTATATTTGTTTTCAATGACACCAAATATAATGTAATAATCGTACTCTTTGTTCACTGACCTGTTAAAGATGCAAGTAGTAAAAGCATTTGAAGCTGAGGCACCGTCATGATGATGTTGATGGCTGTCGTCAATGTGGGCCCAAAAGACTTCCTTTCAAACACGCTCAGTGGTTTCTCTGAAGATTTCCATGTAAGTGAAAATGAAACTTCAAGCAAGAGCGTCAAAAACAGCCTTCTCTGCAGTTTCCAAAAAAACGAATGTGTAGAGTGTAGACATTCACTGATGAATAAATTATGTTTTCTTTAACTGGCAGAGAATTGATCTGGCAATATGTTTATTGGTGTGACTATAGATGGGGGGGGGAGCGAGAGAGAGAGAGAGAGAGAGAGAGAGAGAGAGAGAGAGAGAGAGAGAGAGAGAGAAAGAGAGAGAGAGAGAGGCATACAGTATATGAACACATTCATGTATCCCTAAGGTCTTCGGAAAACAATTTTCAAAGAATCATCTTGCACAGAACAAAGCACTGCCCCAATCCCCTCATTTTCAGCCCCAACCATTTGTCGTTAATATTAAGCCCTGGGGAGAAAAGAAGTGCTACTTCCTCACTGAAATTGTTCTTCTTGCCACCACAATCCCACTTCAACTTCATTCGTTGTACTCTGATGAGTTTCTTGGAAGAAAATGACATCTAGGTTTTTTTTTTCCCCCCCGGAGTAAATAATTCTATAATGAGCGCCCTTTTGCACTGGTCTCTGTCACCATTGACATTTAAAGTCCCAACCTCCAAGATAAGCACGAGAATTCGAAAAGAGACAGCAAATAGGGAGAACAAGGAGAAGATACAACCCGTGATACTCAGCCATTCAAAGAGAGAGAGACCGGGAGGGAGGGAGAGAGAGATATCTGACCGTTGATCTCTATGGTCTGTGCTGCAGCGCTAAAATATTTTTTGACTGCAGTACTCTAGTGATTACACCATTGATTCATCGAGTAATCCGATTAGAACAGATTTGGGATTAATAAACACTATAATTTGTGCACGTGAAGTGCAGATTTGATCTTTATCCACTTGGAGTCGCCATCCTCATGTTCTACGGTAGTATTTGTGATTGTGCATCTCTTTAAAAGGCAGAGGAGGGAAGCAGGTTCATTCATTTGGCCTTTGAAGGGTCACTATAGATGACCCCAACGCACCATGATGGAACGGGATAGTGCCCCAGTTCATTATTGGTATGGATGTAAAACAAGAGGGGCCTCAGCTGGGGCCCCGGGGCAACTCGGAAAGGATGGAGGCAGGAAAACAAAACAAGGCAAATCACTGGGAGTTCAAATCATGCCAGTGTCGGCTTTAAAAAAAAATGACATTTAAGATAAAAGATGCTGAAAGGAAGAAATTGACATTTGGTGGGAGCATTGCTTCATTTATTGTGTCGTATTTACTGAATGGAGAACTGATGGCATTTTGTCGCAGTGTCGGTGGTGGGAAGTAATGAAGTTAATTCAGCTTTTTTGACATTAGAAATGTTTTTTTCTTTATACATTTTATAGTTAGTTAGTTAGTTAATTGTTTATTGAACATACAATACAATAACAATTGACAAAAGGCAAGCAAAATTACAAAAGGAAAAATAAAAATAAAAAGTAAATAAAACAAACATCATCACCGTTATATGCTCAAAGCAGTAGGAAGAAGTATACAACTTATCTAGTCCTACCCCTTGTTGTGTAATAATATAAATAGATCATTTTTCAATGCAAAAGAAAAGGAAGAGATCTACCTCTCATCAAGTACTTTTACCCTTATGTGTACTGTACTTATCTGTTTATACACCTTTCTGTTTGTATATACATACATATATATATATACATACATACACATACATGTACATACATACACATACACACACACACACACACACACATATATATATATATATATATATATATTATTCATTCTCCTTTTTATATCAATTGTCTCATATTCATTATAAATACTGCATTTCTTGAATACATTTAATGAGTTGATCAAAATCCAAAACAAGAACAGACCGTTATATTACTATATTTTATAAGTATGTCGAATTTATCTTAACTTAAATTCTTATACATTTTATACAATTTATCTTATACATTTAAGAGTCTTTATTTTCTTGCTTTTACTTCAGGTAAGTCGAATCCGTATTTCCACTTTTTTTTCCCCTCAAATTTTTCATTACAGAGTTTGAGTACTTTCGCTACCTATGGTCTTCTGTGTGTGTGTGTGTGTGTGTGTGTGTACACCTTTAGCCTGACCTTGGTCATTTTCTAAACACTGATGGCACTGAAATCAAAAACGAATATTTTAGGGATGAGAAATGTCCTCCCAAACAGGACTCGCCCAGGCACGCACGCACGCACACACACACGCAC